TTGCGGAACATTTGCCAAATTTTATTAAAAAAATAAGATTTTATATACAAAAAGAGAGGGGGACTAGACCAAAGCCTCTCTAGAAAGGACATTCCATCTAAGAAATACAATGAAGAAATAAAATAAATAAATATGAAAATGAATTGGGGGGATAGAGCTGACCCAGTTCCAATACAACAAGCATAACCACAACAACATAAAGAAACAGCGAATCAAAAACTGATTCTAAAAAAAGGAAAGAGCAAGTTTATGTGCCAAAAACGATTTCCAGATATAACACGGAAGCCGATAAGGTGCATTGAAACAAATTAAATGGTCTGTAGCTAAAAGATATCTGGATAAGATCGAGATTATGTGTCTTATTTCCCTCTCTGAATTCATGTCACAAAGAGATCCCAAATTCCCCTATCCAACGAGCCTGGTCATTCACCATTGGAAGCCTCCATCTTCCCACGCTGCAACAGTCTTCAATCGCCTGTAAAGCTACAGTGGAATCCGTCTCTCTAGATACCACTTTATGTTCTCTTGTGATCTATGAGATGTGATGCACAAGGAGTCATACGAATGTTTTTCTTCAAAGAGGTTTTTGTTTTTATTTCATTATTTTTGAATTAAGTTGGTGAAACTTCAAGTGATTATTGATAAGTCAGATTTGTTCAAATATTTTCACTCACTTTTTATAGCGTTTATTGTTAAGCTCAGGGCAAATTGATAAATTTTTACGTGTATTTATTGCTTTTGCGTAAATGTTTAAACATAGTTTTGATGTTTATGTTTTTTGAGTAATTTGTGCTTAATTCAGGTGTTTGGATTGATTTTGTGATTTCCCCTTATTAGTATTATTTTTATTTTGTGATGTCAAATTTCAACATGTAAGTAAGTGTTATATTTGATATCTTTGAGTCAATAAACAAATGAATTAAAGCAAAATAGAATATACCAAAAAATGCAGCAAAGCTCCCTTACAATAACAAGCCAAATAAAAAGAAAACTAAACAAAAGAGAAAAGAAACAAAAAGAAAATAAAAAGGCAAGACAAGAAAAGAAGGCACCATCAGAGTCCCCCACATGGTTGTGGCCACATCAAAACAAAAGAACAGAAAAAGGACAGCAGTGGGCAGCTCGTAGGAATGATTCTGGATCGGAAACAACTGAAGGAAAAGAGCATCTCTAGGCGGAGAAATAAGGCAATAAAGACATGGGATAGGTAGCTAGCAACTCAGCCACAAGTGATCGAGGCCATCTGCTGGCAGGAAGAAAAGACATGCAGCACACGGAAGAAAAACTTCAGCGTGTTACTCCATGTTCATTCATCTTTCAATCATAGGTGTTAAGGTTTTGTGTTAAATTTCTTCTTTAATTTCTTGTTTGAATAAGCTTTAAATTTGAAACTACACTTATGTTGGTTTCTTAAATGTTATTATTGTTGAATGAATTTGTGTTTAAAATGTGTGCTTTCATGTATTACTTTAGCTCCAATTTTAAAGGTGTTAATTAGCTTCTTGATAAGTATGCGAGGCTAAAACTCCACGGGGTTTGGATTTAAATAAAATTAAGGTTAATGGGTGTTCTTGAACTTTGAATTGAATTTAGAATGTTTCTCCAATTTTGAGGACTAGTTGTTTGAGAAGAAATCGAATGAGTAATGTGTAAAATTGATCACTTCACTTGTGAACCGTTAGAAAATTAATTCTTTCTTGACTATGAGTTTTGATTTAATTTAGCTCATATCTTACACATCCTAAACTTAGCCTAAAAAATACGACATGTTAGAGTAATTAATATTAATTTCTTTTCTATTAGAATTGGTATATCACTATCCCTAGATTGGTGAAAATTTCCTATTCGTTTGTAATCATAGACACCCAAGACCTTGATTCTAAATCCAAAACCCCACTTTTAATTAGTTAACTTATTGTTATTAGTCACCTTGAATTTACCTTATAGCATTTTATTTTCGAAACATTCCTCTTCTACATGTTTGCTAGTTTCATATTTTAATTAGTAAGTTTTCTCTCTCAAGTTATTTTGCATGCTCACTAGTTTTAGTTTGCTCGTTAATGTCATTTATTTAAATTATCCGTTACTGCTTTTTTGTTTGTTTTTACTTTAATCATTATAACAATTAATCATTTATGAGAGCTTGCAATGACTCGTACCAATCGGTGACCGATATTGAAAACAACATGCACTTCCCTCCGCCACTCCTCAGACACACCACTCTCCGGGATAAACTTTTCAATCCGGAAGGTTTAACTTCGTTTTACTATAACGCCGCAAAAGCGGTCATCATCAATTATATACCACTTTGGAAACTAATGGAGGTAGTATATGAGTCACACTATTAAAACTTATACATATACATCTAAGAAAAACATTATTTTATTTTAGGTAAATATGGTTCATAATTATAAATTTATAAAGATTAGTTACAGAAACTCCAAGAAATAAATTTTACATAAACGTTAATGGATGTAGGCTTAGTTAAAACATTATAACATAAAGGTATAATTCAAGGCATGCAACATGAGTATTATATTAAAACATAACCATGTTAGTAATACTCTTTCACTACTATATAAATTAACCAAGTGCGCGCGATATGAGAACTTTTCCATAATTGGTGTGGCTGACATAGAAGTATATCTTCAAAGGTTCATAATTATTTAAACCATATCATCATCTTTAATTTTATGCTATCTCATATTATTTGCATTCCATTTTTAACGAGATACAAGACAATATAAAAATCATATGTTTGATAACACAGTTGTCAAATTCTTTCAAGGAAGTGTAACATGAGTTCGTTTGCCGGAAAAGTTGGTTCCAATGGTTACACTATGAAGTCCTTTATTATATTCAGCATCATAATGATGATAACCCACGGTAAGTTTATAACCTAGGTCAATGTTGTTATTTGGTGTCTTTATACTAGTGCATTTTAATCCTATATAATAAATTTAATTAGGTTTATATCTAACCTTGAGTCTTACTAACATAGTAATATTGTAATAGGTTCAGAATATAGAGCAAATGCTCATGTGAATGTGCTTCTGGACCCGACAAAGTGCACTGGATTAGTATGTTGCGTTCCGGAGGATTGCGTTGGTGTTTGTAGAGACAAGGGATTTCATAAGTCTGCGACTTGCTCCGATGCAATGTGCTTCCCGTTTTTTAAGTATGGTGTTTGTTGTTGTGAATGATTGTTACTATTTGGAACAACAACATATAAGCTATAGTTAGTATGAATAATGTCGTTTTTCAATTTTAGTTTCAATTTTGCTCGAAAATTTATGCTCTTTGAAATAAAAAAGTTAAATTGCGCTTAGTTTGAGAGTTTGTCTCTGATTGAGGTATGCATTTGACCTGGTCTGTACAGTCACGAATAAGCTACTATAAAAACTATCCATATTGTTACATGTTTATGTAACACAAAAGGTATTCCCAAGTTCAATAAGTGTTAATACGTACCTAACTTTTTTTAAAACCTCGTGGGCAAACCACCAATATCAATGGGGAAAAACTTGCGGAACATTTGCCAAATTTTATTAAAAAAATAAGATTTTATATACAAAAAGAGAGGGGGACTAGACCAAAGCCTCTCTAGAAAGGACATTCCATCTAAGAAATACAATGAAGAAATAAAATAAATAAATATGAAAATCAATTGGGGGGATAGAGGTGACCAAGTTCCAATAAAACAAGCATAACCACAACAACATAAAGAAACAACGAATCAAAAATAGATTCTAAAAAAGGAAAGAGGAAGCTTATCTGCCAAAAACGATTTCCAGATATAATACGGAAGTCGATAAGGTGCACTGAAACAAATTAAATGGTCTGTAGCAAAAGGATATATGGATAACAGATGATGTGTCCTATTTCCCTCTCTCAATTCATGTCACAAAGAGATCCCAAATTCCCCTATCCAACGAGCCTGGTCATTCACCATTGGAAGCCTCCATCTTCCCACGTTGCAACAGTCTTCAATCGCCTTTAAAGCTACAGTGGAATCCGTCTCTCTAGATACCACTTTATGTTTTCTTGTGATCTATGAGATGTGATGCATAAGGAGTCATACAAATGTTTTTCTTCAAAGAGGTTTTTTTTTATTTCATTCTTTTTTAATTAAGTGAGTGAAAATATATGAACAAATCTGACTTATCAATAATCACTTGAAGTTTCACCAACTTAATTAAAAAAGAATGAAATAAAAACAAAACAAAAACCTCTTTGAAGAAAAACATTTGTATGACTCCTTATGCATCACATCTCATAGATCACAAGAGAACATAAAGTGGTATCTAGAGAGACGGATTCCACTGTAGCTTTACAGGCGATTGAAGACTATTGCAGCGTGGGAAGATGGAGGCTTCCAATTGTGAATGACCAGGCTCGTTGGATAGGGGAATTTGGGATCTCTTTGTGACATGAATTCAGATAGGGAAATAGGATACATCATCTCTTATCCAGATATCCTTTTGCTACAGACCATTTAATTTGTTTCAGTGCACCTTATCGGCTTCCGTGTTATATCTGGAAATCGTTTTTGGCAGATAAGCTTGCTCTTTCCTTTTTTAGAATCTATTTTTGATTCGTTGTTTCTTTATGTTGTTGTGGTTATGCTTGTTGTATTGGAACTGGGTCACCTCTATCCCCCCAATTGATTTTCATATTTATTTATTTTATTTCTTCATTGTATTTCTTAGATGGAATGTCCTTTCTAGAGAGGCTTTGGTCTAGTCCCCCTCTCTTTTTGTATATAAAATCTTATTTTTTTAATAAAATTTGGCAAATGTTCCGCAAGTTTTTCCCCACCGATATTGGTGGTTTGCCCACGAGGTTTTAAAAAAAGTTAGGTACGTATTAACACTTATTGAACTTGCGAATACCTTTTGTATGTTACATAAACATGTAACAATATGGATAGTTTTTATAGTAGCTTGTTCGTGACTGTACAGACCAGGTCAAATGCATACCTCAATCAGAGACAAACTCTCAAACTAAGCGCAATTTAACTTTTTTATTTCAAAGAGCATACATTTTCGAGCAAAATTGAAACTAAAATTGAAAAACGACATTATTCATACTAATTATAGCTTATATGTTGTCGTTCCAAATAGTAACATTCATTCACAGCAACAAACACCATACTTAAAAAATGGGAAGCACATTGCATCGGAGCAAGTCGCGGACTTATGAAATCCCTTGTCTCTACAAACACCAACGCAATCCTCCGGAACGCAACATACTAATCCAGTGCACTTTGTCGGATCCAGAAGCACATTCACATGAGCATTTGCTCTATATTCTGAACCTATTACAATATTACTATGTTAGTAAGGTTCAAGGTTAGATATAAACCTAATTAAATTTATTATATAGGATTAAAATGCACTAGTATAAAGACACCAAATAACAACATTGACGTAGGTTATAAACTTACCGTGGGTTATCATCATTATGATGCTGAATATAATAAAGGACTTCATAGTGTAACCATTGGAACCAACTTTTCCGGCAAACGAACTCATGTTACACTTCCTTGAAACTTTGAAAGAATTTGACAACTGTGTTATCAAACATATGATTTTTATATTGTCTTGTATCTCGTTAAAAATGGAATGCAAATAATATGAGATAGCATAAAATTAAAGATGATTATATGGTTTAAATAATTATGAACCTTTGAAGATATACTTCTATGTCAGCCACACCAATTATGGAAAAGTTCTCATATCGGGCGCACTTGGTTAATACCTTGAATTATACCTTTACGTTTTTATGTTTTAACTAAGCCTAGCTACATCCATTAACCTTTATGTAAAATTTATTTCTTGAAGTTTCTGTAACTAATCTTTATAAATTTATAATTATGAACCATATTTACCTAAAATAAAATAATGTTTTTCTTGGATTTATATGTATAAGTTTTACAGTGTGACTCATATAATACCTCCATTAGTTTCCAAAGTGGTATATAATTGATGATGACCGCTTTTGCGGCGTTATAGTAAAACGAAGTTAAACCTTCCGGATTGAAAAGTTTATCCCGGAGAGTCGTGTGTCTGAGGAGTGGCGGAGGGAAGTGCACGTTGATTTCAATATCAGTCACCGATTTGTACGAGTGGCCTAAAAGCCCGATCCGGTATGCCCCATTTTTCTGGCTTCCGGGAAGCTTAGAAGGTACCCGATTGAGTGGCCTAAAAGCCCGATCGGGTACACATCCCTGCATGCTCTAAACACCTATAAATACACCCCATTTCCTTCCCATTAGAATCACCAATTCACATATACTCTTTAGCTCAGTTTAGATTAGTGTTTTCTTTAGTCTCCAAATGAGGAGCTAAACTCTTCCATCTTGGTTTTGCTACTTTGAAGCTTAATGAATTGTAAGTTGTGAGTTATTTTCTTTAATCTTCTTCCTTGAATATTAATTTTTCCCTTAATACTATCTCTATATTAATGTTGGGGAGTGTTGCTAAGATAACAATTAGTTAACATCTCGACATTAGTTAAAGTAGTATTTATTTTCTTCCTCTATATTAATGTTGGGGAGTGTTGCTAAAATGACAATTAGTCAACTTCTTGACATTAGTTATAGTAGGATTTATCTTATTTAATATTCTTCCTTGAATATTAATTAATTCCTATTCATATTTCATATTAATATTTTGAGCATTACTTAAAGGATCAACTAGTTTTGTTTCATATATTAATTAATACTAGAATCGATCGACGAATATGCTTGTTAATCGTTTGGTCGTTTCACAGTAGTAAACTTGGATTATTAATCCATGCGTCTCATGGTTAACAATCTAAGGGGAATTAATTATATTAATTAAACCAATAAACCGCTGGTTTACTCAAACTTGCTTAGAAGGACTACCGGGAGTGAGCAAAACTGAGGATGGCTATGGTTTCTCGGCATTCTTTATAAGTGGTGTACTTAGACACTATCTCTATAGGTATTATGAGGATGGCCATCCGGGTGGAAACGGGAGTACGGTCATGGACATGAAAAAGTTCAAAGGGAAGGAAACTCGGGTTGTACATGATATAAAGTAGGTGTTCCGAGATGATGTAATTACAAATATTGTTTTCAAAGAAGATGGGCCGAATGAGATACATCTAAAGCATGATGAACTTGTTGAGGAAGAGATGACAAGGTTGAATAACTACCTTTCCGTGACTGACAATTGGTTGAAGGATGGCCTGACTTTTATTACATCATGCTTGGAAGCTTCCAGGCATAAAATGCATGGATGAAAGGTATGTTTTCATTCTCATCTCTTTTTATGACTAAGGCTTATCAATTGTTTCTTGATAGGTATGATGGATGTGAAGAGTACCGGAAATGGGTAAAGAGACAAAGGGAATCAAATAGGTTTCCGAGGAAAGGTGGGAGAACAACTAAACATTTCTAATGTTTTTAGCTTCATGGAATGTGAGAGGCCTAAATCAAGCCTCAAAACAAAATACTATAGTTAATTTCGTGAAAGTTAATAACGTACGCATCTTTTGTCTACTTGAAACTAAAATGTCTACTACTACGTTTTAATATTTTATGAATTTTAGATTTAATTCTTGGATGTCTACTACAAATTTTGATAAGATGAATGGGGGTAAGATGGCATTCATATGGGATCCTAACTTTGTGGATGGGGTCATTTTGCAAGTTGAAAAACAGTTTGTCCATGCTAGGTTTATGTGTAAAATTACACAATTACCTTTCTATGTCACATTTGTTTATGCATTGTACACGGTTGTCCAAAGAAGATAGCTTTGGGAACATATCTCTCGACTTGGGACTAATATTTTGGGCCCTTGGGTTATACTTGGCGATTTTAATTGTGTTGGATCTCCAAATGAGAGGAGTGGGCCAGCCTCCCCCTCAGGTTATGCCATGAAGGATCTTAATGATGCGCCTTCAACTGGGGAATTATTTACTTGGCATAGGGGTACAATTTGGGCAAAATTGGATAGGGTGCTTATTAATTCTTTTTGGCCTACACAAAATGTATCATGTAGGGCACACTTCTTTGAAATGGAATGTGAATTTGATCATGTTGCCTCTCTTGTGACTATAGGGGCCGAGAATAGAGATGGCTCAAAACCATTTAAGTTTTTCAACATGTGGCTCAAACATGAACAGTTTAATGGAATCCTTGAAAATGTTTGGAATAGGAATGTTGTTGGGACGTCTCAGTTTAGACTTGCTCAAAAACTTAAGTTGCTCAATCAACCACTAAAACAACTCAACAAAAATGAGTTTAGTCACATCACGGCTAAGGCAAAGGAATCAAAAAAGGAATATAAGAGAATCTATCAATTAGCCCTCTTAGCTCCTCAAGATGATGCCCCAAAAGATGAGTTGTCTAATGCAAAGAAAAGAGCTTTATTTTTAAAAGAAGCCGAGGAAGCTTATCTTAAACAGAAAGCTAAGGCTATTCATATCATTCAAGCGGATAGAGGTACAAGATATTTTCATTCCATGGTCAAAAAGAGGCAAACCCAGAACACTATTGCATCCCTAAAATTGGAAGATGGAAGTCTTACCAATTCTTTGGACCAAGTAGCTACTGAGTTTGTATCCTTCTTTAAAGGACTCTGGGACATTGGTTACGGCTCAAAATGTTGATCCTGCAGTGATGGCAGCGGGTCCCACCATTAGTAAAATACTAAGATTATTACTAAGATTATTTGGAGACCAACAAACTATCATTCTCTTTGGATTTTCAGCTCTATTTGGATTGTTTTCAAAAATGAAACCGCTAATATCATTTTCCGGTGATTTTCTGGCGACATGGTGGCTGAAACAAAAAAAAAAGATGGTCTGGAGGTCCTCTTGACAAGGCGCACCTCCTATTTTTCTTTTAATTTTTCATAGACTTTTGAAAATCGGAGTTAATTTTTCTAACGGCGTTAGACGTCATGCTCCAACTATGATACCGGAATTGAAACACATGTCTCACTTTGTTAAAAAAAAATAAAACACACGTCCTTGTCTGAAAACGGCCTAAACCATATGTAATCTCAACTTTCCCTTTTAATTTATCACATGACAAGAATCTGCCAAACCAGTCCAATTAATGGGCATTTGGTTATATTTCCATAATGTTAAAATATACGTAGTAGCACTATACTTTTTAGATGACAGTACTCATATTATGAGAAATAAATTGTATTCCAATTTTGGAATTTCCGTTATAAAATTCCAAAATTGTACTCATTTTTTATCAAACTTTTTATTAAAAATCTACGGTGCATTTTGTGTAAGACTTAAACCTATGATACTGTAGTAATTTCTTGATCAAACATTTTTTTATTTCGTACGTTAAACGTTCTTATCATCAAATTAAATAAAAATAGAGCTACTTTTCAAACTGTATTTGTTCAAGATGATGATTTTGATTTTTTTCATATAAAAGTTCCTTTTGTTTCTTGATTATATAAAAGTTCCTTTTGTTATACTAACAAAATATTTTTATTTTTATTTTTTCATAACTCCATTATATTAATTCATTTTAGTCATAATTTCATTAAATTTAGTACTCCCTCCGTCCCATTTATTTTGTCTCGTTTTACCTTTTCGGGAAGTCCCACTTTTATTGTTCCATACCATATTTGGCAAAGTTTGTGTGGCTCTAAATTATTCTTACTTTATTCTTACTTTATCAATTAATATCAACCACACAAACCCACTTTTCTTAATAACCGTGTCACCCTCTTCCGGGACAATATAAATGGGACGGAGGGAGTATATTTTAGTCATTCAGTTAATTTCATCATTATCAAGCAAGCTCTCATTATTGATGTGTTTTTTCTTACTCAATCGGGAAATATTGTGACGCTATTCTTAGGATACTACTACTACTAGTGACGCTATTCTTACTCAATAAATGTGGAAATAAAGGATGGCGAATTACCAGTGACAATAATATCATCCACATATAAGAGAAGATAAATAATCGAAGACCCATGAGAATAAATAAACAAGGAATTATCAGACTTGCTGCAAACAAAGCCATGAGTCAACAAAAAGCTACTAAACCGATAAAACCATGCTCTGGGTGCCTGTTTAAGACCATAAATTGTTTTCCTGAGACGACATACATGGTGAGGAAAATGAGGATGAATAAAGCCAGGTGGTTGACGCATATAAACTTCTTCAGTCAGATTACCATGCAAAAATGCATTTTTAACATCTAACTGACGAATATCCCAATGAAACGAAACAGCAAGTGACAAGACTATACGAACAGTAGTGGGCTTAACCACAGGACTAAAAGTCTCAGAAAAATCCACACCAGCTTGTTGAGTGAACCCTTGTGCCACAAGACGTGCCTTATACCGCTCAACAAACCCATCTGAATTAAATTTAGTTTTATAAATCCATTTAGACCCAACCACATTTTTATGAGGATTAAATGGAACCAAATCCCAAGTATGATTATAAATAAGTGAATTAAACTCTTCTGCCATAGCACCACGCCATTTAGGATCTTTATTAGCAACAGAAAAACACGACGGATCACATGCCGAAATATCTGTTTTGAGATTAAAAATATGTTTGGGTTTAAAAATTCCAGATTTAGCACATGTTTGC